TTCATCCTTCTAGAACCCTAATTTGTAAAGCCAAATACAGCTAGAACAGACAAGGATTGAGACGACATCTTAGAATCAAATCCTCATTTAGTTTGTACTTATATGTCAACAGGCCTGAATAATGTTGATGACACTATCCGCTGGAGAGAGGGTTAGCATCCAGAACAACTTGGGTTTTGTTTAGTTTCATCATGTTATCAGTTACAAACAACTTCTCAGCTTCACAATCAGTAAAGTTTTACAGCAAATTTAAATCTTGGTCCTATAAGAGTAATCTCAGAAGCCAGTTGTGTTTCTAAAATCCGAGTGGTTGCAGGAGGCCCACAAATGTCTCTGGTCTCCAACATGGTCTACCCACACAGCAAGTCTGGGGAGCTGCGTCCCTGTGACTGCAAACAGCCCTGGAAGCCCTCTACCACAGCTCCATATGGGCTTTTGTTTGTTTTGGGTTTTGTTCTACAGAAAGGGAAGGTCTTTTGTGCAGAGTTGTATTGGGCGCCAGCCAGTAACTCAGAAGGACTGAAGTTTTGGCGAAGCGCTATCCATTTTATGATTTTGCAGACAAATCACAGGAAACTGCTTAGAATTATTATGATTATTTTCTGTTTTCTCTCCCTGAGTACATCACATATCACTGAAAACACCGGAAACCTACGCACTGACTGCAAGAGACTCGAATTCCCATGAGCAAGTTGTCCTTGGGCCCTGATTGTCACTTGCCTGTATTCTATTTATCTCACATCTCAGCAAATACAGTATTACTTCTCCAATAGAGTAGGTTTGTGATAGCATCACTCTGCGGGTTATTTATCATACATATCTGTAATTGAATTACCTATTGCAGTAATGGGATTTACTCTCAAACATACATAAAATTGCAACATAAAATAAGATTGTTCCAGTGTGTTTGTCCTCAGCATTCTGCATGAACTCTAGGTCAGCCAAATTCACAAGGAATACAGTGACAAATAATGAATGAAAGACGGGAAGATAAAAGATCAGTGGGTTCACAGTCAAACATAAAAGAAACGCATCCTCTACAAAACGTATTCTTTCATAATGTTTCTTTCAGTGCTATCAGGAAGACAATTCTAGTACACGTGGAAGAAAAGAGTAAAAATGCAGTAACTGTACTCTTTCCAAATGCATAATAAGTACTATGGAAATATGTTTAGATCTTAGGAAAGTGGTTTGCTCTTGTCAAACAAACAGTACTCTTGGACAAAACAAAAAAAAAAAAAGAAGAAGAAGATGACCGTGACTCCTACAGGAAAATGCTCTGGCCTTTTTGAGCTCACTTTCTAATACCCTGCTCCTGGTGACACCTGACTTGTCGTTGAGGGTGCCTGGCTTTAAAAAACCTGTGAAACGGAGAGCCAGGTTTCCTAAGTTCTGGGATATCGCTAATGGCAAAGATTGACTGTATTAATACCCATATGTTCCAGTAGTGACTTCTCTTGGAAAAAGTTGTCCATTTGCTTTCATCTGTTTAGTGTAAATTCTGAGTTATTAAAAGTGAAAAGTTTACGTATATTCTAGCTTACTTTAATTTTTTTCTTCTTTTTTTCATGATCTAAAATTAATTTTGTGTTTCTAGGTAGCCAGTATCTGAAAAATTCAAAGAAATAAGTGATGACATTTCCCAAACATTCTACCAGCTGCTTCATGAAACTGCTTCTCAAAGAGCTAGTTCTCACCTGTTGAATATATCTCCATGATGCTACCAATCTGCAAGAATCCGAAACAGCAGATTGCCCCCTAGCTATGACAGATCATTTCTGCAGGGCAGCAGAGTGATAAAAACCAGGAATTTTCAACCAGACTTCTTCATCTTAATTTAGAAACTTTACTGGGAGCATATGTGTAAATGTCTATTTTGTCAACAAGAGAAGACAGCATACACAATTTAAAGCACTCATTTGAGAAGTCCAGAAAACAGTTAACTTTCACAATATGAATCTGCAAACAGATGCAGGTAGGATGAAAGGTCCCCTTTASACACTTTGCACTTTATTGTAACTCAATTTGTTAGACTCTGTAATTTACGTTTTTAACATTATTGAACACTAAACATTAAAACTTGACACCTTGGTACTATAATTATATCCTAAGCAATTTATCTGGGTAACTATAGCAACAATTTCAAAAACATTTAAAAATTTTTAAAAATTGGTATAATTTTAGAAAGAAGAACTATAAGGGATTTAATGCAGGATGTAGGAATGCTTTTCTCAAATAGTTGTGCCTATGCTACTACAAAAATACTTGACTGGAATTTATTACAAAATAATTAACTCAGTCTACCTCACACACCATGTGACTTGGAGTCCAAACCTCTCTCTTGGGATTAGTTTCTGACCTTTGTGAAGTCTGGACTTCTTGATCACTTATTTACCTAACAGAATGCCTTTTTATCTTTGGCTGGATATTTATCAAAGTTCTACTCTCCCCTCCTCCACCTTCCTGTATGTGCATCAGAGGCAAAGCCTCAATTTCAATGACTTCATGAGAAGAAAAACAAGGACATTCGGAATCCTTATAAACAGTCCCCATGTTAATTAAAACCATGCAATGGTTCAGATAGGCAGTTCTCCCGACATCAGGAATGGCCGACAGTCCCCAAAGACCGGGCATCTATTTTGAGCAACTAACACACAAGAGAGAGGAAGGTTCATTGGTCTTATCTTTTGTCTCCCAGAAAGACACTAAAAGAGACTCTAAAGCCAAATTTCTTATAGATCAATGAACAGGCTTCAGATGGCCCAGCAACCCTCTAAAACATATGCAAAAACTTGCAAGAATGTGCTTACATTTACTTTAGTCTCATCATCATTAAGTTTTAATAGTCTCTGCACTGGGTCTCCATTTCCTTCGACTCAGACATGGTGAAGAAACCATTTGAAAACAGCAGTAAAGAACACAGATTTATTTTTACCAAATTCTGAACATCTCAAAAACTTCCTTTGGACAGAGACAAGCTTTCCCACCCAGGAGACCAAAGACTGCTCACAGCAAGGATCTTGCAGCTGTTTGTCATTAAAACACTAAGTAAGCTAGTACAATTTATAAAAGGCATAAAATGATTAGCATCACCCATCTACTTCCTATTAAGAAAAGTACCAGTTGGCTTAAAAAACAAAAACAAAACAAAACAAAAAAAAAAAAAAAACATGTAAACTAGGTACCAGTTCAGCAATGCCAGAGTCCCACGAATATACAGTGTGTTCATGAGCAGCACAGGGGATGAACTACTATCTCAAAAGTTTTTACAAGAAACAAACTCAAGTGGCCAATTGCATTTAGGACTGCTTTTCCATGTAAACCAATATGAAGCAAGAAATCTGGGGGAATCTTTGTTTCTTTGGGAGTAAACTCAGTCCCTGATATGTTACTTCAGTTTTATTATCTGCTTTYGCTGAAGTTTGCAAACAAAAGAAATTATGATAAACCTCACCCTCTCTTAAATAATGAAAATAGGATTAATTAATCCTAATTAAGTATTGAAAAATCTTTTCATTAAAGCCTGGTTTTGTCTTTCTGCATCTCCTCATGAAAGACTGTAATTAATAACGCATCTGCTGTTCTCAAACTCCATCGTTATGACAGAGCTCTTTTGGGTAAACTGTGACACAAAATCGTTTTTCTTAAAAATGAGCTGCAACAATTGTTTGCAACTCCTGGTGTTTAATGTACTTGTACGAAGTAGAACTTTATGTCAGTATTAAACGTAACACTAAATACCTTCAATTTCTTTTTAATTTTTTTCTGGATAAATACAGTAGTCACAAGGAGAAAGACGAATGTGCAGGCAAGAGTTTGCATGAAAACATCTGTCTCTGCAAGAGACCTTTCTAGTTACAAGACTTGCGTCCATGTTCGCCTGTCATTTCTAACAAGGCAGAAAGCTTTCTGTGGACAGAAGASCAGCTCCTTCCTTCCAGCCTCTGCCTCCGCCACGAAATTACAGCAAGAGCTGCCTGGTTCTGCTGATCGCTGCCTGAACCCCCCACCCACTCACCCAGGACAGAGCAACTGCCTGTAGCATCCATCCTCTCCTCCTCTCTGAGCGCTCGCTCTCAGCGCCCCCTGCCGGGGTTTTCCGGGACGCCGCAGGAGCAGCAAAGTTAAATCCCAACTCTGGGCAGCCGCATCCAGGTACAAAGCGACCAGGGCACTAGGAGGTGAAACAAGCTTCCCGCCAAAGCCCCGGGAATCGGGATCTGATCGCGCTAGGCCCAGCACTGAGCGCCACGGGCTGTGATACTGGGGAATCACTCCTCCGTCCCAGTCCTCTGCAAATCTTAGAAGGAACACTTCCCTCCGGGGCAAGGAGCCAGAGAATGTTAAATCCGCGGAGCAACGGAGAGATATCAACAGAAAAGGGCTCGCCTAGTTGCAGCCGACTGGCAGGCGCTTCCCCAGGCCTCTGCATCTCCGCCTTAGTCGCCCTCATTAACCAAAGAGCTTGGCAGAATTGCGCCCAAGTCCCACTGCCTCCCGGTTCGCGCGCGCCGCAAAGCCCCTGTAAACGAGATCAGGAGACGGTGCACTAGCCGGCTGGGCTGCTGCGAGGTGGCAGCTCCCCGATGGAGAAGCCGCGACCGCCGGCACCCGGCACCCGACAAAGCAATACTGGCCGCTCGCTGGTTGCACGCAGATCTCCACTGCGCACCTTTCGGAGGTGTCAGACAGCGGTCCAGTCTCGTCCACAGCCGATTAGCCCACCGCGACATTCCCACTCCTTACCTCCACACTCTCAAACCTCTGCAAAGGCGAGAACACAAACTTCGAGCCCGTGCACTAGCTCAACTGTGGGCGCCCCCGCACTGATGGTGGTCCTATTCCAGTACGCGCAGCTACCAGGCTGTCCCCGCCCAGGTGCCTGCAGATCGACCCTATCCGAGATCTACACCACCCACTAGCCAAACGCTGCTGTCCCTGGGTCCCGGCTACAGGCTCAGTCCACCGCCACGCGGGGACCGGGCAGGGAGCTCGCTCACCAGGTGCGGGGCGCGCTCCTCGTGCCAGTCATCCAGCGCCCTGGGGCCCGGAGCGGCTCCTCTTCAGCACCGTGAGAGAGAAGTGGAGGCAGCCACTGCTCTCTGCCACTTCCCCAAAGTCGCCCCCTAATCGTGGTGCTCCCGGCTGGGGACCCGCTCGACCTCAAGAAGCACAGAGTTCTTGGGCGCAGGGTCGACCTGCGGATGGGCAAGTTCGCGCCCAGCTCAGGCAACGAACGAGGGGGCAAAGTGGGGTGCCCGAGCCAGCTCCACGGGGTAGCTGCGAGTGGGAGAAGGGCGCACCCCGAGACCGGCTGCACTGGCCCGGGCGCCCCCGCGCAGAATAAGTGGAAGGCTGTGGCCACCGCGGGGCAGGGACCGCGGGCAGCCGGAGGCTGCGGAGCCCACCCGCGGCGGGAGGGCAGCGCGCGGGAGCAGGCGCAGCGAGAGCAGCCGCCGCCGGCGCCGCCTTCCCGGCGAGTAGAGCCGCGCAGGGTGCGCGGGCGGGGAGCGCGGGCCGGGAGCGCGGGGCCGCTTCGCCCCGCCCCCGCCCCGCCCCCGCGCCGCACCTCCTCCTTCTCCTCCCCTCGGGAGTGAAACCCGAGCGCCCCACCCCGCGCCTGACCTCCCCGGGCCCCTCCCCCGGGCCAGCCCCTTCCCGGTTTGGGACCCCTTAGCCCCGAGGGTGCCCCCTGCACCCCAGGAGTTCACTCCTGCCTCCCAAGGGTAGGTTCTCCCGAGCGTTGACTTTTCAAGGACTCCTTCACCGGCCTCGCGGAGACCTTCCGTGGCTCCCCGCCCCCTGTCCCGTCCCTCCGACGTGGCTACATTGCGGGGTGGGCAGTATAAAGGGCCGGAGGCAGCGCAGGCCGAGACCCGAGACGTGGCGCGTCCGCCCTACCCGTCTAGGCTACAGGTACGTGAGTGTCCCTTAGTGGGATCGGTGCAGAGGGTGGGCGGGAGCCATCGGTCCTCTCCGACTCGGAGTTTGAGATTTTGTTCCTCTGTGACATCCTCTTGCGTGCTGAGCAAGAAACTCCTTAACGAAGACTGGGAGAGTCGCTGAGGGTTCTTGAAAGAGCAGTTTGGGGGTGAGGCTCCCACCTAGTTCAGGCCGCTTTCAGAGGGGTTAAACCAGGGAAATGAACACTTGTGCTGGACCAGGGAAGCAGATCAAGAGATCACCAAATACCACGTTGAGCTTAGGCAGAGAAGCTCCATCTAGACCAAAGTCATCTCTTTCCATTCTGGGGCAGAAATTCCCTGTTGCACTTTTGCGAGATGTTTGGGCCTTGCTGATTAAACACTCCTCGGATGAGAAGTTTATAATTGGAAAACAAAGTACCTTTGAAGACTCCTGTAGCTTGATACTTTGTTGCAATTCTACAGCTTTTAAGGAGAGAGGTCAGCTTCACTGGGTTTTAAGCTGTGAAAATGGGCGAGTGTTAAAATAATAGGATAAGACAGTAAAACCTGGGTTCTGGGTCCTGTCCTGAATGGTCATATGTAACCCTTTCCCTCAGGATGGGGGTGGGGGACAGTCTGCGGTTTTGYTTTTTTTTTTTTTCCCTTCCATCTATGCTTCAAAGGGTGGCTTAAGGTGCTCCTACCTAAGGAAACTATGAATGTCCTCTCTCAACCGCAGTAACATAAGGACGGCCCTATGGTCCATGTTCACACAGCCGCTTTTAGAGCCAATGCCAGGCCTTTGATGGGTCAGGCAAATACTGAGAACAGTCCTGTACATCCATGGGATTCCATTGAGCTCATCCATGAAACAAAGCTCCATTGCGGTAGAGCGTGTCATAGCTCATGCAGGACAGAGCAGATCCAAGAGGGGGACAGTGCATATAAGTTGCCATCAATTTGTCTTTATTTCCTATTATTGTTCTAATGAAAGAAGTGAAACACTTCTGAAGGCGTCCACATAAACCCATTCCATCCCAAATGCCTAGTCTCTCCAACTGGTGATGGGGCTGCCTCGGATGCTTGGGGCCGTACTCSGATTTCCTTTAAGAGGTCTGGGAGGAAGTGTCAGTGCTGGCAGCCCCTTGGTTAAGCATTCCTCCCTGAGCTGTGCTTCTAGCCTGGTGCGTGGCAGCTGCTGGCTTCTGGGACTTGAATGAAAACCTTAGCACTTCTCCTTTCTGTGCTTGGGGGGGGAGGGGCGGGACCATTCCGGACATTCCGCTTCTCTGGCCTACGTGGCACAGGCCTAGGAGCCTCTGGGAGCAGGCTGCTGGCCAACCTCTTGCCTGGATGCCTGGTGAAGGCGGGGGGGGGGACCTCTGCTTTATGCTGAACCCTATGTCTCACAGATGGGCAGCTCAGAGCTCATGCAGGGGAATGAAGACTGAAATTAGGACCAAATATATTTAGCAAACTTTTCCTTGCCTCTTAAGGTAGCAGTTGAAAGCAGACAACMCTTTCTTTTTTCTTTTTAATTTAAGAAAAAGAATTTCTTAACATTCAGAGTTAAGCAGTGGAAAGAGGACTTCTAACTAGGCAAATTAAGTAATTCTGTGTTATCTGGGGAGTGGGGGATTCAGTTTTGCTGTTTCAGGTTGTACTGAACCATCCTTAAAAGAATGTATTTTAGTGGTAATTAACTACAAATTACTAATAATTAGCAGGGAAATAAATGATAATTTAGAGTGCATTCTTGGCTTAAAATGAAACGAGTGTCAGCTGAGGATTGCGTTTGACCTGACTCTCTTTAAAATTATTTTAAAGTATACAGAGTTAGTTCCTTTTTCTAAATGAAATTTCCTTTCCTTTTTCCTTTGAAAAAGACTGGCTCACTTACATTAAGCTGCTTCTCATCACATTGTACAATTAAGGGTAGTCCTTTTTAAACAAAAACTGTTTAGTCCTCTTCAAAATAGAAATACAGTCCTCCCTAATCTGCTTCAAGTGAACCATGCACATGAGGTCAATGAATGAGATGACCAAAGGGGCATATGGTGAAAATGATGAATTCTGGGGCACTGATTCATATGACTTGAAAAATGCCATCCATTTCCTGATTCACCACCATCTTTACTCTGTAACATAAAGCATCATTTGTGTCTCTGGACTAATCAGCCAATTCTGTCTTGTCTTTACACCCATCTCTAGTGCTTGAATTTTGGCCATAAGGCTCAACTGCCAGCCCAGAGCCGAGGAACAGGGTGGGGGCTGAAGGAGCATCACCTGGAGGAGAGGCAAAGATGCTACTGGGGACCACAAGTGCCCTTTAAAGAAAACCATGGGAGTGGTGGTGTTTAAGATGTGGTAAGACAGTATTAAAATTCTGGAGGAAAAAAAAAAAAAAACTCAGTCCAAAATGTGTGACCTCTTTTTCATTTACCTCTTAACTGGATTTTCCTAAAAATGATCGAGGCAAGTGTTACAATTGTCATCCATGCATTTCTCTTTTTATCCCTGGTTTCCTTCTTTTAGATCCATGGCATTTAAGAACTGAGAAGAAAAAGAAAAAAAAAATTTAAAAGGAAAAAAGAAAGCTTGATCATCTGAATTATCCCATCACTTTTTTTCTTAACACAGCTAGACATTGCTTAAAAAAAAAAAAAAAAAGTGAAGTTTGATGACTCAGTGTGGTTGCCTAGAGCTAGAGCTCTTTTTTTTTTTTTCCATATACTATAAATGACTTGGAAGACTCATGATTGTGGCTATAGGTGACACTGTGATGTTCCCCAAAGCTTTGACAGTGAAGAATCTCAAGATGGGGAGATTTCAGGGAACTCTCAGCCCCTACTACATTCTCTTGAGCTTCACCAAGTTCAGTTTATGGTTCTTTTGCCCCAAGAAGTATGCATGCTCCTCCCATGCAGAGCTCACTCTCTCAGTACTTACTGGTAAGCAGACCAGTTCTGTTCCTAAAGCAACAGCCCAGACTCTTTGAAAGAAAGTGGCCTTGGCACATTTGAGAATGACCACAAGTGAGTCCATAGGCTGTGCCAGTCTGCACTGAAGACTCCATCATGGTCCCTTCTCTGGTCCCAAATCAGTAGGAAGAAGGCCATCGTGGTCCCTTCACCCGGTTCTACCTACGGCTGCCTCACCCTTCCCAGGTAGAGGGATGTGCTTTGTTGTTGCTGGTTGTTAAATGGAAGCTGATACAGAATGACCTGCCCTCACCATTCCAGGTGAGTTCTTCTCACCTGTGGGTTCTCTTGAATTCATTCCGCAAATGAGAACCACATCCCCCGACCTCATGCCACATTCAAGAAAGCAACCCAGTTAAGACCAGTGGCCAAAGCAGTGAACAGCTCAAAATGCAGCCACCCAAGTATACATTCAACAAGATGTACTCACTATCAGTTATGGGGGATGTTTCATAGCAGGGATTTTTTTTTTCCTTTTTCTTTTTTTTTTTTTTTTTTGTTGGGGGGGAGTATATAGCCATCTTTAAAATTTCAGTAAGACATTGTATTTTACTTCAGCTATATATACAGAAAACCAAAGTATTCTAGAAATCTAGAAATAGTTTGCCTTATCTTTTGGGTTATATTTCTAGATATATTTTTCTAGCAACCCAATTTCCTTAAGATAAAATTGGTGTCCTCAAAACAGCCCAAGTTGTCTTTTATAAGTATGGTGCAGGGAAAGGGAAAAATGCTAAGTTTAAAAGATTTTTGGAATATCTACAGGAAATGCAGATGGTTTGTGGCATGAAGATAAAGCATCCGTATGGTTAGCTGAGTGTTATTTTCTGACATTGAGACTGGGATATATCTTAAGTGCCTATGAGTAAAGAATGGGTATTTTTTTTAAAAAAAAAAGATATTTGACACTTATTAATCAATGCCATTTATAATTCCTGACTTTGAAACTAGAGCTTTGGGAGGAAATAAGTACCTTTGTAAATGTATTTTCAAAAATAGTGTTCACCCTCCTTAGATTTAGAAGTACGAATTACTGTCTTAGTTTATTTCATCACTTACCAGGGAGATTAACTCATAATGACCTTGAATTCAATGAAAACAATATGTATGAAATTAAATCAAAATGTCTTCTGAAGCAAATCAGTAGGAAKAAGGCCATCAAGGATCCAAAGCCCTTCTGTCAAATCTCATTTCAGACCCCCCCCTTCTCATTCCCATTATTACGTCCTTGATTTAGCATGTCAGCTTCTCTCGTCCAAATACCAACACCTCCTGCAGGTCTGCCTGCCGTCAGTAGTTATTCTCCAAACAGCAGCATCCCCATCAACCCCATGCACATACCAACCTTCATAACACTGATTTTATTTAAA